ACCTGTCAGATTTGGCTGTGTGCTCATCCCAAGATATGTCACAGAAGTTGAATTCCCTTTGATGATCGTGCACCAGGAGTGCACGGCTGCGACGAGTTTCCTATTGATTTCCCAATCTAGTTCTGCCTCTTGGTGGGGAGGTCTATAGTAGACTTCTACAAGTATGTCACTCTCCCCATGCTCTCCCATTATTTGTCATACACACTTATCATGCTTTATCTCTAATTAGATGTTAAGCTCCTCTTAACATACTAAAGAACAAGAACTTTCCATGTTACTATATAAAGATTACATGCAAAGCAAACTGGATTTATTTTAATTTATTTATTATTAATACCCCCATTAACCAGAAGAAAAAGCAGCAGATGATATTGAAGAGAAACAAATATAAATTCGCTTTTGAAAAAATGCATGTAAACTTGTCAGCTTTTTAAAACCTTCCACTTTTTCAGTGAGGGATCTTAGAGAAATTTTGTGAGGGCTTTTCCCCTTATGCTCTTATTCATTGCTATTATTTTAGGATCCTTCATCACCACGGGCAAGTCCATCTCACTCACCCCGTGAGAATGGCATAGATAAAAACCGCCTGCTGAAAAAAGATGCCTCTAGCAGTCCAGCATCTACAGCCTCCTCAGGAAGTTCTACTTCCTTGAAATCCAAAGAAATGAATTTGGTGAGTATTAAAAGGAGTCTGTAGCCCAGAGGAAATATCTATCTATTTCTCACAAGTATGGGCTAATTCTTATTGCCCTGCCTACTGGCATACTTGCTGGCAGCAGGCGTCTGATTTTTTAAGCACTTGAAGTTGAAGCACATTCTTGTTCCCTCAGATCTTTATAGTGCTATACACCCCTCTTCCTTGCTGATAAAAACTGCTTCATGCTGATCTCTCCTGTGCACTTATGTATAATGGTTTCCAAATGTACTACATAGTGCAAAGGGTTTGCTTTAAACAGTGATTTCTTTTGAGCTAAAAATAGCTTACACTTAAACTCTGCTATGTAAGTACACACATACAGAGCTCTTTTAAAAGTTCCACAGAATCGGGTTCAAAATTTTAAAGTAGGATGTGTTACTTCACCCCCCCCCCCTTATTTATTTATTTATTTTTACAGTATCATTAATGTTTTAATCAAAATATCTTTGGCTGTTACAGTCTCTGTTTCTTAAACCACTCCGTTTTTAAGATATTATGAATTATACAAAATGTTTTTGATGTTGTGCTTTGATCTGTGCTGTCAGATGCATTATTGTGAGTGGTAAAATGAAATGCTGATTTTTAGACCAAAAGAATTTAGTGATACATTGAATATTGTCCCAAAGAAAAATTAGCTCAGGCATTTTTAATGCTTGTGGAAGAAGAAAAAAATAACTTTCCACATTTTTTGCTTTTTAATTTTGGCAGGAGTAGGAAAGGTCAACATTTTTCGCTTGCTAGTTAATGCTGTCAACATTGCGTAGATTTATGAAAATTGGCTGAGGGAGTAGGTAGTGGGTGCCCAGCATCCCAGCTGCTGTTGTGATAAATTGTGTAATATGGCTTGGATTAAAAATAATACTCATTTAATTTGTTTAATGATACCAGCATGAAAAAGCCAGCACGCCTGTTCTGAAATCCAGCACACCAACTCCTCGAAGTGATGTGCCAACCCCGGGCACTAGTGCTACTCCAGGACTTCGTCCAGGCCTTGGAAAACCTCCAACAATGGACCCTCTGGTTAACCAAGCTGGTAATGCATTGACTTTTGTGTGCCTTTATGATTCTTGCACTAGTTTTGTACTTATGTAATTCTGTATGAATACTAAATAAATGTATTGCTTCATCTTTGATAATACTGAAGAGGCTTCATAAAAAGCAGATGTTCAGACATAGTTGTCAGAAGCTTGAACTTCTTTCTGTCTTGACTGTTCACATTTCCTTTTATCACCTTTTGTATATAATCTAAACTATAAAATAACTTTCCTGAAGTATCAGGTTGTTGTTCTGAATGTAAGCCCCTGCCCACTCCATTGTTTTTGCTTAGGACAGCTAACATTTGTTGAAATGTAAGTCATGACAAATTCAGATTGAAGCCTACCTTTACTGTTCAGTCTGGAGTGGTACAGGTTCTTTAGACATCAGTTTTATTTATATGCCTCAATCTTACTATGCATTTGGAGAAAGAAAGAATAACTGAATAGGGAAACGATGGTGTGCAGGAGGAAACAGGCAATGTAAATAATCATAAAGCTGTGCATATAAGAGTTCTCTTGTATACAAAACCAGGGCGGATGGTGGTTTTAAGCCTGATACAAAATCTGACAAAATAAACAGGAGCGTAGACAGTGGGGGAAGGTTAGATATGGCAGAAGCAGTAGCCATTTGGAATGACTGTTCTTTCCTGCGTGCAGAGAGAAAGAAAGTTACTTAAATTCAAAATACGTACATTATTTCATTAAACTGCAGCTGCTGGTTTGAGGACTCCCTTGGCAGTACCAGGACCATACCCTGCTCCATTTGGAATGGTACCTCATGCTGGCATGAATGGAGAGTTAACCAGTCCAGGGGCAGCTTATGCCAGCCTGCACAATATGTCCCCCCAGATGAGTGCTGCTGCAGCTGCAGCCGCCGTGGTTGCCTATGGACGATCTCCTATGGTAGGCCACACACTGCTTGCAATCTCAATTGGATGGGTTTTGGTTCACTGAAGGAAAAACTACATGCTTCATTTAGCATTGTCAAACTCCTGGGCTATAACAACGCCAGAGGCTTGACTGTTTCACTGTATGTTTCGCTTTGCTACGTAGCTGAAAAAGCAAACTCGCACCTTGAAAACAAAGAATCTCAGTGTATTTATGTATGTTCCAGTTGTTGTTAGCCTTCATTAATGCTTTGGCTCATTAAGAAATTACAAGCTTTTTTTTTTTCATTTTTTAAATAAAAAGGTAGTGTTGGAAGCTACAAAGCACTTTATTGGTTGTCTGGACATCTGTTTTTCTCCTACCAAAGCAGATTTGTGTGCTTGACAGACATTCTAAATTAAGCTCAAAGCACATAGAAGGCATTTGTATCCACTTTTCTGAGCGTATGTTTTTATTGTTTTATGAAAATAAGGGATGGAAGTTGATTGGTCTCTCTCTCTTATGACTTTTGCACCTCTTCTTTCCTAGCATGAGTGCAATAAGCAAATAAGGTCCTCTGATAGTCACCCCTACCAGAGTAAAGTTAAGTAAACGCCCAGCTCTACAAATGTTTTAAGCATGTGGGTAGCTTTTTGTACATAAGCAGTCCCAGTGAATTCAGCAGTGCTGTTTATAAGGATATTTATATGATGAAGTATTTGCATGATTGAACTCTGGATTTATAGGACTTGGTGCCATCGGCTTAGAATGAGCATTTTTAAAAAAAATTGGAAAAATAGGTTAGTTTCTTCAGCAGGATGGATGGAAACTGCAAATGGTGCATGCAGCCTTTAAAACTACCTGCAATATGCTTTTAATTAATATATGTTCCTTTTTCAAAGGAAGAACCAAAAGAGCTTTTGTTCAGAATTGTTTGTAGGGATTGTTTAAAGGACAAGTTTATGGGAGATGAATTAATGTAAGAGTTAAAATTTTTGGAAATCCTATGGAAGCACCTGTTGTGTTAAGCATATTGTTATTGTTCATTTTTAAGCTCTAGCCATTACGTGCCCAAATGTGACCACTTACTAAATGCTGAAAGACATGTAATGTCCCCTTAACACATTGTTTTAAGAAATGGTTCCATTTCTGCAATACTCTGTACAACATATGCATCAAAACAGAAAAAGTGATGAAAATGAGTTGGAGGGTAGGTAAAGGGACTTATGGTTTTTGCAGTCAGCAGGCTTAAGTTGTATTCATTTTCCATTATCAGGTTGGGTTTGATCCTCCTCCTCACATGAGAGTACCAGGAATCCCTCCAAATCTAGCAGGAATCCCTGGGGGGAAACCGTAAGTAACTTTTAACACCTTACCTACATGCCCTCTAGCTATTAGTATCTTATGTCAGCAAACAAGATTTCCAAAGGAAAGTTATATCTTGGGTGTTTCTAGGAGAATGCTGTATTCCTCTCCTGATAAGGAGTATGTCTTAAATTCTCAACTGGCCACTGTCATCATCTTAATCGCATACATACTCATTTCCTTATTTCTGGAGAGAAGCTGTTGGTGGGATACATCCCTGGCTTGCTTCTTTTTCAGGCTTGAAAAAGAGTGAGAGAAAGGTAGCAGTGCTGGAAATCAGTAGTACTTGTTAAAAGAACTAAGGTGTTAGGAGTTTTTTAAATTTGAAACATGTGAAGCCATCATTAAGCCAGCAGAAACAGTGGTTGTAAATTGCAATCTCCTTATTTTGGAACACATTTTAACAGGACTGAAGGTCTTGTGAAACTTTTGGATCTCAAGCTTTGGAAATGTAGGGGGTACTTAATGAGGATCTGAAGTAGTTACTTTGGCAAATGATACAAAACTTACATAATGAAGCAGGCACTTCTTAAAACAATCTCGGAGATATGCAGCTGTAAAGCAGCAGGATACACAGGAAAGGATGTACACAGTAGATGTGTAAATGTATGAGGGATTATTTTCACAGCAGTTCTTTGAAACTAGAAGCTTGCATTAATGCTGACCTCTACAAAGTAAAAAGGAGCGCTAGAAAAAGTGCTTTGGTTAATGGTGATTGTGATGTTTCTCATAATCACGTTTTGGCCTATCTATTGAAACATTTTACTTTAGGGCCAAAAGAATTAAAAATGGTTATACGGTTAGCTAACCTATTTGATCGGGGGTGGGGGGGAAATGTAGAGAGCCTCTTCAAAATGGCTGGCTTTTTAAGTTTTTTCCCAGATAGCATATTTTTGGCTTACTAAGCAACATTTTGATAAACTATATTATTAAAAATATCCATGAGTTTCAGTTTGGTGGATTTCATTCTACCATAACTTAAGCAGGTTGGTTTAGCTAGGTTGCTCTTTAGTCCTGCTAGGTTCCACACTTGTCGTCTCTGAAAGAAAAGCTCAAAGCTTCTTATTGTAGTAGTTTCCTGAAATAGTTCTAGAAAAATCTACCCTGATTGTAAACAAAGCATGCTTTCCTTAAACACTGTTGCTTAAAAGTAATCATATTTTGGGCGGTGGTTCCTTTGCAACAGTTGTCATTTCCATCACAACCTACTCTCTGTCTCTTTGCATTGGTGACCTTTGCTTTCACTTAGCTTGTGTATGAGAGATCCTTCCTTTTGATTCTGGTTTCCATTTAATTTTGTGGATAATTTAGTAGTGGAACCACTTCAAATTTTCCCTTGCGCAGTTGTGTGTTCCTGTTACAGATGCATCATATACTCGCTCAACCACTGAGGAGTTCTTATGAATCTTCACGTTGACAGTTTCAGTTGCTCTGCAGTTTTTTCAGAGGAAGGCAACAGCTATTAATTTTGAGTCAGAATTTTACATTATCAGAAGCATTTACGGAGTTTTTTATAAACATACATTAACTAGCTTACAACATCATTTGCACTACCTTGTTGATACCTAGTGGCCTGCCACCATGTCAGCCATCGTAACAATGCTCAGAATAGCGCAGAGATTATGATGCCTTCTTTAATCGCTTGTCCCTTTTTCTCTCTTTTACGGTTACTGAAAGAAAACTACTATTCCTAATTTTTTTGTTGCTATTTAACATATTTCTGTGTGCAGACTCCACCTCTCAACTCTTATTGTTGAAGCACCTGCTTAGTCTGGATTTCATTAACAAATTCCCACCCATACACTTGAGCAGAAGATGACAGAAGGGGTACAAAACATGCTGCCTAACAAAGAGGGGCCCAAAGGGTTGGTATTATTTATGAGGCACTGACTAGCATTTTAATATTGAAATAAATACCATTTCTTAAAATAGACTGTTTTTAAGAGACCAGACTCATTTCTGATGACTTGAGTGGAATTTCTTTCACAAACAAAATATTATTGGGCTGCGCATAGACATTAGAAATTAATGTTTTTAATTCTTGCCTTTATTCTTAATATTGAAATGTTGGTTTTCCACTAGCAACTTCCGTAACAATTAGGTCTATTCCAAGGCAGCTCAGCCATTGTTGTAATGTGCAAGACGCATCAGTCATATCTATATCCTTCTACTCAAACACAGATGCATACGTTTAAAATATGTATCTCAAGATGTTTTTTCCATTGGTCACTGGTTTGGTAGAGAGCTTGTTCATACTGCTTCTAAGAATCCTCGCCTCCAGTTCAGACTCATGTTTACTTCCTAATCTCTCAAGCTGCGATTAGGAAGGTTTTGTAGTCTATTTCCTGGTTTCTGTACTTAGAGGCTGAGTTACCTCCTTTGCTGCTAATTGCTTCCTCCTTTGCTTGTACTTACTATAAATAGGGTAAAATGTAAACTCAGAATCTGAGCTGTTCTCCTTCATTTGAATGCCTCTAAATCTAGACTTAGTTTAGCCCTGTTCATTAACAGCTAGCAGGATACTTTCTGTTACCCATAGCAACTTTCTGATAGCATCTCTTATCTGGGTTAGACAACTCTACTGAAATTTTCTGGTACAAAATATGGATAACATGACATCTGTCACAGAGTTGCACAGACTGCAGGAGAATTCTCAGTTTATATCTGAAGCCTACTTTCTCCCAGACGCACATTGTGATGCCGCATTCAATTTGTGTTGTAAATGAGATGTGGCTTTTTAGTTGTGTATCCTGTTGTGGGTAAAGGTGAGAAGGGTGGGGATTTTTCAGCTAGAAGTGCTGAATCCCCAGCCATGTGTGTGTGTTAGCCGCTGCAGTCATCTATAACTACTCTGCAGCTTTTGTTCTAAATACAGTTGACTCAGTTCTCTTTCTAAAGGACCAGTATTTCTATGAGCACCTGTTCTCTTTTGACCACTGAACACATGGAGGCCTTATTAATAGAATAAATTGCTGCTAGGAAAATAAGCTGCCTCTTAGGAACCTGTGCTTGTTTTCCAGTCTGTTGTTGGTACAAAAACTCCCTCTGGAAAACTCCTCAATTTGTCTTGCTTTCCTTTCTGCTAAATGTAGCTGAATTTAAGTAAGTCCCTTACTTCCAGCCCTTTTTTTTTAATTGTGACCCTGGTCAAGCTTGTTGGCTCTTGAGCCTAATCCTGTCATTAGTTATATTGGTGATTTTGGTTCACTGCATACAGACCTGAAAAGTGGCAGGGTCTTGCCACTCTCATTTCTCAATGCCACAAATTAGCAGGTCTGTATGCAGTTGATAGCAGGTTGCCTGCAGGCACTTGTTTATTTTGTTTTCTTATGTTTCTTCCCCAGAAACCATCCCTTCCATTTTCCTCTTCATCCTCCTGTCTAACTTATTCCAATGTTTATCCTTCAGTTTCTTCTGCATTTACTTTGTGGTTTTGTGGAGTTTTCCTATCTTCCTGTATCATCTTGGGAAAAGATACAGTTTTTGTCTGACAATGCAAGTGCAGCTTTACAAATAAACTTAACTTATGGACAGTAGTGAGGGGGGGAGGCAAGGGTTGGGGGGGCAGCAGGGGTAGAAAAAGTGGAGCAACAGCCCTGAGCACATACAGCCCTATGAGAGGGTGCTAGAATCCCTTCCCCAACAGTCTTTGCTGCTCAGCCATAGGAGCCAGGTAGTGTAGCCCTACACTCAACAGTGCAGCAGTATATCTGGCGGGGCAGGGAGCAAGTAGGGCAAGTGGAGTGGTGCACCCCTCCACCCTCTACCGCCCAAGAGTCCTTGACATGGATGTAGTCCTGTTCCCAATAGTACAGGGGCGGGCAGTTATTTTGAGTGGAGGGCTGCTTACCGAGGTTTGGCAAGCTGTCCAGGGCCGCACTGGTAGCCCCACCCCTTGACATGTGCCCCGCCCCTGGTTGACATCTTGTGACCAGAAGTCCCTCCCCCTAACCCCTGACCGTTGCCACCAGAAATCCCTCCCCTTGTCCCCAGAAGTATTCCTTTCAGCAAGAAGTTTTGCCATCTTGGAACCAGAAAAATGCCAAATTATATTCCAAAAAGCAAACATCTACAGCATTCATTAATTTGGTTTCAAATACCCTTTTGCCCAGGTTTACACATGTTTGTGTAGTGTGCGTAGAGGTGATTGCACAATAGCTTAAAATGAAGTCTTGAGCTTGTATATTGTGGGGGGTGGGTATAGGTTTGTCGGTGGCTGTGTGTGCGGGGTAAGAGAGCATGTGGGTGTGGGGGATATACGAGGGGGTGTGGGTATCTGCATGTATGGCAGCGCAAGGGGGTGTGGGTGCATGTGTATTGTGGGGTGTGCATGTGGGACTCAGCCTATGAACACACGCACACACACATTTGCACTTGCACTCTGCTGCTGCCTACACACACACACACACACACACACACACACACACACACACACTCTCTCTCTCTCTCTCTCTCTCTCTCTCTCTCTCTCTCTCTCTCTCTCTCTCTGCCTGCCTGCCTGCCTGCCTGCCTGCCCCCCCATGCACTGTCCCTGCCTACACACACACACTCAGTCACTCACTCTGTCCCTGCCTGCGTGTACATACACACAGTCTGTCCCTGCCTGCCTGTGTGTACACACACGCGCGCATACACACACACACACACAGTTGCGCATGCACGCGCACCCCTGTACTGGCTCGGCCCTGTGCTCCCCAGTTGGGTGATGCAGCTGGCAGCCAGTGGTGCTGGATTAGGGCAGAGGCAGGAAGAGAGTGAAATGGCTTGGGGTAGGGCGGGGCTGTTCAGTCCTACTGAGGCTCCCCCTGGGTCCTACTACCCCTGCTCTTGTCAGCTTTCACAGACTGCTAGGGCAGATAAATATTAATTTTCTAAAAATGTTAGGGGCCCCACAGGCTGAATCTGGTCCATGGGCTGTATTTTGCCCAATCCTGCAGTAGTATATGGCAGGGGAGGGGAGAGTTATGAACCAGGCACTAGGTGGGCTC